ATTGTTTATTAAAACAGCTCAGGGCTGGGCCTGGTGGAGCACAACTGTGATCCCAGCACTCAATAGGTTCAGGCAGGAGGACCGCAAGGCCCCGTCTCAAAAAAACATGGACAGACAGACACTCAAATGTTCATCAGTAGGAATTGGTACAGCTACACAATGGGACACAGACCCATACAACAGAATATTATGCAGCCATAATAACAAATAAGGAAGCTGTCCTTACATGATAAAGGTCTCAAAAATATATTCAGTAAAACTAGACGCTGAACAGTGAAACCATCACACACTCTCCCAGGAACAGAGAACAGATCAGAGGTTTCCAGGCTTTGGGGTGATGGGAGTCTGAGTGCAAAACGGAAGCATAAAGGAACTCTGGGTACTGTAAATGTGATGCTACAGGCATCTAAGCGCATGTAAAAAGAATAACTATACAGACTGTAAATCTCACTATCTGTTTTAAATACAAAAAGGAAATAGAACAGCTAAGATAACAGCAATATTCTATCTTAACTACTTGTAAGTCCAGTTATTTAAGGATGACCAAAAATTGCATCTTTTTTCATTAATTTTTGTAAGACAATATAACAGGAAATAGAAAAATAACCAATGTGTTCAATACAAGAATTGCCTGGTTAGGGGGCAGCCAAATAGCTCAGTGGACTAAAGCACCTACAAGCAGGCACAGGGGCCGGGGGTCCAATTCCTGGGCCTGCCATGCAGGCCCCACCCTGGAGGCACGCTGAGACAGCAATTGAGACTGGGTATGGTGGCGCACACCTGTGATCCCAGCTCGTGGAAGGCTGTAAACAGGCAGATCACTATGAGTCCAATCTAGTAGTAACACCCTGAACACCCTGTGGCCCCTTCCCTAAAATACAAAAAAAAAAAAAAAAAATTGCCTGGTTAAAACGACATCTGCCTGGGTGACGCTTGGGACAGTCAGTGTATAAACACATGCACTAATGGAGTGATGCTGGGGTCATCTTGGCAGCAGTGTCATCGGTGTTAACTACCTGATTCTTTTTATGCACATACTTGATGCCTTTCTCTGCAGGCACAACCTACTCCATAGTTTTAACAAATTATAAAAAGGCAACTACCCCAGCCCCTGGCCCCTATCTTCCCTTATAATATTCATTCGTGAGGCACACACAGAAGACAGAAGCCTTGCTTGTCAGGGGAGTTCTTAAAGAAAACATTTTATAGCAGAAAGAGGCCAGATGCAAGGGCAGTCTGGAGACAGGCACACTGGTGCACATCTGTAATCCCAGCACAAAGTAGGGCTAAGGCAGGAAGATCACTGTGAGTTCGAGGCCAGCCTGAGCTACAAAGTAAGTTCAAGATCGGCCTGAACTATATAGTGAAACCTTGTCTGAAAAAGGCCAAAAAAAGAAAGAATGGGTTGAGAACAAGAGCAAGTGAGGAACTGCTTTTAGAAAAGTACCTGGATGGACAGGAGTCAGTGTAAGACTGTATGCGGACAGGATTAAGTGTAAGACCATATGACCATATGGTTCCCAAAATTATAAAAATACTTTTAAAAATATCTCAGTCTAACCAGAGGAAGTTGAGCACATGGTGTGGCATTTTCATGTGTTGCAAAAGAGAAACCCTAACAAGAATGCAGGGCCCAAGATTATGAGGCCCCGACATCCCAGGGCAAGGTGCTGGAGGACACAGGAGGGTCACTAAGCTTGTGGGTCTCAGGTGTGCACTGATTTGCCACACAGACTCACCCAGGTGTTCAAATAAAGACCCTGCTCACAGGTGGGGACTTCTGTCACCACTGTAAGCAGGCTCTAAATAGTAAGGAAAACTCCCACTCTGCAGGTGGACCCCGCAGCCCCACCCCACACTCACCTTCCTCACAGTTTCCAGTTCCTGCTGTTTGTTTTCGTTGGCAGCCTGCAGCTCCTTCATCTGCCGCTCCAGCTCCTCCTGCTCCGCCAGCAGCTTCTTCCGGAGCTCCCTCCGCCGCTGGCGGGCTTCCTTGTGTGGGGGAGGACTGCCCAGCTTCAGCAGCTGGATGGTGGAATGAATGGCTGCAGTAGGGAGGAGAGAAATGGGAAGCACACTTCATCCTCTGCCTGCCTACTGTGCAGATGACACAGAAGGAGGCACACCAGGCAGAGCGAGTCGCCCCACCATGGACCCAGATTTGCAACCCTAGGCAAGCATGTCTCCTCTTCTCCAAAATCAGAGTGGTACTGGGGGCCGGGAGATAGCCCAATGGCATAAGGGCCTGCCTGGCAAGTGCAAGGTCCTGAGTTCAATCCCTGGTACTGCAAAATCAGAGTGGTGACCTGTGAAGTCTCTTCCAACTCCCAAATCCCTTAACTGGACATCTGTACTACAGAGAGGCTTAACTTGTACTACACACATTTTAAAAATGTATGACAACACTTTCAATTCCCTTCTCTGTATGTCTCAAAAACCTCAGTTCTCCAGAATGCGAAGGTCGCCAGGCCTGCACCAACACTCCTGGCTAATACACACACACTCTGCATGCATACCTTCACCTGGCTTAATATATTTATTTACATGCAGATTCTTTGTATGCGTTACCTAATTTTCATATAAACTCTTTCCTGGTATTTGAAGTTACTGTACTTAAATTTCTTGGATAACTAACACGCATTGTTCAAATTAAAAGCCATAAAAAAGATATTTAGGAAAAGTCTCTCCCCAGCTCATCTCCCCAGGTCCTGGGTTTCCTGGCCTGTTAGCAACTCCTACCAGTAGTTCCCAGTACATCTCTCCTGAGATAATTTCAAACAAATGGATATACATATAATCTTTTTCTCCCTTTTATTTTGACACAAATGGTGGCACAGCTCACTCTTTTTTTTTTTTTAACATTTTATTTTAGTGTGTGTGTGTGTGTGTGTGTGTGTGTGTGTGTGTGGCCAGCTCAGCCCACCAGGGGGCGGGGCTGGCTGGCATGTGGTGCTGGGGGATCGAACTGCGGTCCCTGTGCTTTGCCAAGCTTATTCCAAGTACGTGCTTTAGACCACTGAGCCATCTCTCCAGCCCCACAGCTCACTCTTTTGAGCCTATTTTTCACCTTTAATTTATCTTAAGAGCACTGTAGAGGAGCACTATGCTGTGTATAACATACCTAATTTATTCTGCCATGTCCCAATTAATGGACAGGTAAATTGTCTGTAATCTATCACAAAATTTCTGCAATGTGTTATTTTGCAAATACGCAAGTATATCTGTAATTACTTAACTTTTAATCCTCACAGTAACCCTGAGTGGTGGATACTATTATCATCCTCATTCCCATAGAAGAAGAATGCAACAGAACTTGTAGTTCAAGCCAAATGATCCAGGGAAGAATAAACAGAGGAAAATGTGCCTCAGTCTCTTAAACCATATCAAAATGACCACAATGTCAACAGAGCACAATTGTATCTATGTTCAACAATACAATATGCAGAACTCCCCTCAGGGTTACGCTAAGTCTCATTTAAAGCCTGGGGTGGGGTGCACACCTACTGTCCCAGCACTGGGGGAACTGGCAGGAGACAAGCCAGAGGTCAGCCTGGACCACACAGCCCAAGTCCCAGACCCCCTCTCGCCTCTCCCTCATATATGTTCTTTACTAATTCTGGAATGAAGTTATACTTCGGTTTAAAAGTTATTAATTCAAAAAGTCTGTGGTTATTTTGTTTTGAGACAGAGTCTCACTATGTAGCGTAGGCTGGCCTTGAACTCACTATGTAGTCCAGGCTGGCCTTGAGGATCACTACAAGTCCGATCTGTATGGTGAAACCCTGTAGACCTTCTGCTAAAT